ACGTTTAGCATTGTCGCTACCAAAGTGGATTGAGTCCAAGAAGCGCAGAAACATAATAACTTGCTATGTATCTATTCTCTCGGCTCGGATTACGAAAGCTGGTGGGGTGCGGTTGCGGCGGCACGTGGTAGCACGGGAGAGGAGTTGGTGCGGCAGCTGTACCTGGGCATATTCGACGATCATACGGTATACGAGCCAAAGTTAGTTGAGTTTGTTCGGGGAGATAAAATTGCAAGGATGGCCCCGCATCAAAAGACGACAAGTCACCTTCTTCCCAGCCAAGCCGCTATCCAGTCCCATGCCTTCCCTAGAGGCTAACCTGGACAATGTGTCATACAGCTGGCCCATCAAAAACTGCAGAGGTCTCTCAGCTCAAGCATCGTCTGAGCGTTGAAATTACGTGGGTATGGTTGTAAATGGTCACAGGAAATGAGGGCAGATGTCAAAGCGAGGAAGCTGGGTTGATCGCCAGCACAAAAGTCAAACGCACCATTCCTATCCTTTCCAACGCTATCCCAGGAGTTCGTCAGCCGTCAAAGCACACCACAATATGCAAGCGAAACGCTTCGAACGTTAGTCTTCCATACGTCCCGTCTAGGCCCGCTCTGGCGCCGCCGTTCATGCAAGAAAACTACAATTGCAGATATTTCAACCAGGTTTTCAAGTTATACTGGCATAAAAAATCGCTTTAGCTCATCTGATTTCTTTTGACACGTTTCTCATCCCATGTTTCATAGCGCTGAGACCCAAATTCTCGATCTCGGAAATATCTTCTAAACTTGAAGTTGATGATAAATTTAAATTTTAGCCCGAGAATGTTCATTAAACCTTTTCTGTCTTGAGATTTCCGTTTGTGTAAGTTGTTTGCATCCATTATGGTTGCCGCCATCCTACTAGGAGACGAGTATTGAAGAACTCAGCGCGCGAACAAAATGAGGCAATGTACCGCTGAGAGTATGTAGCGTTAGGTCGTATCTAATGATACTCCCATCTAGATAACCGTGAATTCCTCTGATGTGAGCTGTGGACAAGATGATCTCCTTCCAAGAATACCACTTATTTCCATCAAAACGCTCATCAGCAGAGAGTTGAAACAGGGATGGTTGAGTAGACATATTCACAAGTTATCAGTTATAATCAAGTTGGTTGTTAAGAGTTTGGTGAACACTAGTTCGGTGGTCGGTTCGGGTCAAGAGTGGTCAGTAATTCGGTCGAGGTTCAGCAACGTGGGACGGGGCTCATAACCTATAACAAATAGAATCGACTAAATATTGTAATTGTACACATAACAAAATAGAATCTCTCAGTTGACACGAAAGAATCGACTGAGGTGCAATAGCGCCGAAGGAGCCTAGTATTTATACAAAAAAAAACAATAGAGGAATAAGGACTCTGAGTGGTGATAGCTGTCAAAACTAATGGAGCTAACGGAACAAGGAGATTCCGGGAAAGCCCTTCTCTCCAAAAGATTTTAGGATCCGTAGTAAAGCCTTATCTTCTATAAACTCCAATAAACTCTATCTGATCCTTATAAGATTTAAAATTGGTTACATAACCCGAAGGAGCAAGGTCCTTGGGTCCTTTCGGGAATTGAGCACGTAATTCAACAAGTTTTCCGTAAGGGGGCACGAAATTGGCAGTACCACATGAGTGTCTAACTGTAAAATCGTGTCCACTACGGTTCACCCGCATCTATCCTATCAACGCGCGATCCGTCCCCATTCTCCGCACTCGTCAAAAGAAGAAGGCCTAAAGCATGTGTAATTGTAACGCGGTGATTTAATCGACGTGTTCGTGCAATCATAAACGAGTATATATGAATGGATATACATGGACCCGCATGCACTTATAATACGCCTTATCTGATTGTAACACATCAAGTCAACGAGCGACACTCTAACCGACGGGAAAATTGATCGCATCAGCCTTATAGAAATTCAGAAGACCTCTTGAGGTGTTCTGAATTTCTGTAAGCTGTGAAACCCGGCTGTGAGGGTCGCAAGAAGGTACAAGGCGTTGACTCTACCATCGCAGCTTTATTACGGTAAAGGGTATTCGCTCTGCCTGGCTAGTTCCTGGCAATTTCTTTTATTACCCAAGCCTCTGAGCCACCTGAGCATTTGACATAGTTCACAAAGACTGATAGAATTTCATATCCACATCAAGGATCTCTGTCCCATCTACCTCGCACATGCTCCCCCAATGCCCAGGGTCCTAGCCCCTGGGAGACGGCGCCTGAGCGAGCCTCTCTCGTTAATCCGCCAACACCCGGGGACTCCCTGACTACATCACACACTGGTCCCCTCACACTACTGTCTCCCAGCTCACCTGTACTTAGTGACTTTGCGATAAAATCTAATTTATATACATCCTGAATTAATCGTGGTTTCTCATGATGGACTTTGTGTTTCCGCATCCGTCAATTATATGCCGCCGCATAGTTTGTCCAGGAGGTCCTAAGACAACATTTAAATGCCAACTCATCATTGTGAATGTGTAATTATACTACTGCTTAAAATACATATAAAAATATTATAGATAATAGCTGAAATGGTATGGCACCAGCTGATGCCACAGCAGCTCGGGCTGATGAACAAAATGTGTCATATTTGACCTTTCCTTGATATAGTCCCCAATGAGTCAATCTTGTTATATTATTCAACATCCATAAGTTCTTAATCGGTTCCACTTGCAATCACTCTTTAAATGGTTTGGGAGGGCTCGACTCATAGTCAGCTCGGATAAGCCCTCACGATAAGCTTGATCAGCATGGGTATGGCTTCTTGCCCTACCAACTACTTCGTTATATATTAGGACATTATTCAGGTTTCGCAATTTCATGTGTGTGAATAGCGCCCGGGCTGCACACCGTCAGTGGAATGCCATCTGCCTTGCGTTCCACTTGAATACATGAAAGCCGAGGGGATTCACGGACACATTCAACTCCAAACCCCCACTTGAGTATCCGTTTCCTTGGTGTGAAATCTTGTTATCCCATAGGTAGATGAAGTACACTCAACGCACTGATTTTCGCTTTGCGTCGTGGCTGGTAGCTTTACAAGTAGATGCTTTACATTTCAAACGATTGCAGTAAGTTTTCACACCTTGGTCTGGCAGGAACGAACGACCTTCTGTACAACGTACCCGTCGGACGGCACAGAAGGCTGGGAGACTGGAGTTCGTATTCGAAAGGTAGGGGCATTTTCACATTGTCAAAGCTAAACAGCTTGCGCCTGCGTTGAGAGTATAATGCGCTGTTTGACAAATGGCATCTAAAACGCAAGTCAAAGGGTCTTGTGAGTCAGAGAACGAGTTTACCCGTTGACTTCGCCTGTTTCCCTAGTATCCCTACTAAAACTGCCACATCCACATTGATAAGTTTATTTGTTTCTAGTCAGACATTTACAATAGATTTAATCCCAACAAAATAGCAACAGAGCAGCGGCTATACAATGACTGTAGACCAGAATATCTCCGTTGGTCCTCTAGTAACTGCGTGTAATTGAAATTTCTGAGCAGCAGCCACAAAAATCACGCCTCCGGCCTTTAAATATATCCCAGCTTTATCCGCCGCAGTGGTAATGTGAACTTCACCCTCCAGCACGATCCCGGTAGTCGGCCCGGGGGCAGGTTGAAGCTGTTCCTCGCTGTAATGCGGATCGAGAGAAGTATGCAGTACAGTAAATTCCGCAAGGGGTGGGTCATAAGCTGTTGTACGTCCACGTGTACTGCCCTTATACGGGGTTGAAGGTATGCCGAGGGTTTCTGCTGGTCGGGGCGCATAGGTCAGCATCTCCGTGAATATACGCGGGTCTCTATCTTCTGGAGGAACAAATGCTGCATTCACCACATTATCCGAGGCGGCCATGCACTCGATGATGTCTCCCGATAGATATGCGTGTGCATCGTCCGCCCCGATATACACGGCTTCGCCTTTCGAGAGTGTGACGAGATTCATGAGAAATGGGGCCACCAAAACGCCGACGTCTCCGGGATATTGTGAGTTGACGTCTAGCACAAGTTTGGAAAAGGCATCATTTTGCGTTTGCAAACGGTCGACGACGGCACGGACAAACGGCTCGATTTCGGATTGGGCGCGAAGAAGCAAACTGGATACGATGGATTTGATAGGATCTGCATCCCTGGCCGTTATCTCTATTCCACAGGCCTCTCGGAGTTCTGGTGTCGCCTCCCAAACTTGCAGGATATCTTTGATAGGCTTGAACCCGACAAAGCCTCGAAAGTCTCCTAATGCCAGTGCCATCTCTGGTTTGTGATTGGCATCTACAAAACCCTTCTGGTTAGTAATCTCAAGTTTCTCGGCGAGTTTTTTATCGGGGTGGGCTTGTAACGGAAGGGCTTTGGCGATTGAAAGAACTTTGAACAGGTAAGGAATTTCAGGACTCCGCTTATTACTCTCCTTGCCAGATGTGATAGGAAATTTAGATATCGTACGTGGGCCGAGGAAGTACTCCGTATCGATAGCGAGCAATGATGCAAGCGAGGTGTTGGGATGATCATATAGGGTACAAGGAGCTTTTGGGTGCGTTCCCATCCACATCTACGATCGAACGTCAGCCAAGGAAAGATTAATGTGCATCTTCAATTCACTTCCGCGTAAGATTTCGATTCATCGACTTCGAAATCAAGCCCGCAGGCTTCTGGGGCGAGTCGGGCGACTAGAGAATCCGAACCGCGCTTTCCCCAGTCATAGTTTTGTAGACCGCACTTGAGGCGATATATAGGTTTATGGGACATTTTGTAGAAGTTGACTTCGTGGGAGCCTCCAGTGGGTAATATATAGGATATGGCGGACATGACGATTTCGTGCATAAATCGATGGCCCGTGGATGTTCCGTGAAGTCATGAGTACCACGCCGCCCTCCTCTTGGCCGCTGCTGCTGCCAACTTCCTATCGTCCCTTTTTTTTAGAGTTGCAGAAGGTAACAACGGTCGTGTCACGGTTCATACCAGGCATGGCTCACGAAGGCTACATCATTATCTGGCTAGCTCAGTTGGTAGAGCGTAAGATTCTTACAGTCCCTCTGACCGGGTAAGAGTCTTAAGGTCACGGGTCCGATTCCCGTGCAAGGTAATGTTTTTATCCCGTTAAATCAGAGGCTCCTTCCTACATATATTTCGTTTTCTGAGTGTGTGTGTGAAATATTTTTAAGAATTATGGAACTAGCCATTAAGTACCAACATGCATATGCAGAACTATATAGAAGTTCAAAGTTTGCACCACAAGATATATTGACTTAGCTCTTGACCTTTTGTCACTGTAAATACTAGTACAACAAAGTAAGGTGTAGTATAACAAATAAGTCTGGAATGGGGGGAAAAAATAGCAGATTCAAATGCAGAATGTTACAACGGTGGTGTCGTGGTTCAGTATGTGGTACGATTTGGACCATTTCAGTCGCGCCTTGCTAGCTCAGTTGGTAGAGCGTAAGATTCTTACAGTCCCTCTGACCGGGTAAGACTCTTAAGGTTGCGGGTTCGATTCATTTTTATCCCATTAAATTACAGGCTCCTTCTACACATATCTCCTTTTCCAAGTACGTGAAATATTTTTAAGCATGGAACTAGTCTAGGAACTCCAACGGCACCTCCAACTCTAATTGTCTCCAGGTTTGAATTTTTCAAACAGCCAGGGAAAGATCAAAGCTGGGCATAAGTCGACGGTTATAAATAATTAGTCTATATCTTACTTGCATATCTGTGCGGTTGAGTATCACTAACTGTTGACCTCATTAACTAGCCAGGAAACTGTTGATTTATGTTATCTGGGGGTGAAAAACGTAGCTACCACAAACAATTTCATCCGATGGCAAGATGAAGGAATTGAGTCTAACAGCGCGTCCAAATAAAATTCTCTGCATGCGGCCAGCGTCTATCACACGGCACTGCTACAGCTTTTCAGAAAGGAAAAAAAAGGAAATAGATAACACCACAATCACTCTATACAATACAAACTCAGAAGTGCAACATGCACATTATTTTTTTCAACAATATATTACAGTACTTCCTAGCTCACTAGCGCCAACCGGGACGACACCTCCACCTGAGACCGAACTAAGTTCGCCAAGTATGAAACCATGAGCGTATCCTGCAGCCAAAAAATCAGTCAAGCCATCAATAAGACGTGGGATGGGGCATACTTGTAAGTGTGCGTTGAACAGGCCTTCCAACTTGCCCTTTTCAATACCCGCACTGCTCACACTCAGTGTGTCCATGAGGTAGCGCCCAACTGCAATGTCGCCGTTGATCTCGCCAGAGATTACGGAGCGCACATAGGCCAGCACCCGCTCAACCATGTCGGCTACCTGTTGAAGGGATGCCTCGAGTGTGGCAAGGTCGCTTTCTAACGAGACGGTGGAGGATGATGAGGCGGCCTTGGAAAGCAAGTCAACTGCAGCGCACATTAGCAGGCACCGAAGGGGAACCAACAGCACAAACTTACGACCGCTGCGCTCCGCGTCGTGTAAGCGGAGTTCGCAGGGAATAGGGACAAATACGCAGTTCTCTGGTCTGGGGGACACGCCGACGGGGGAGCTGTTTGGCCGGTGTAAGAGAAGCGAGCGGCCACGACCATCATACTGCGCTCACCTCAAGTAAGCCTTCACTCCCACCTGCTCCCCCTCTTGCACACCGGTGTCCATCGCAATATGAACCGCCTGGTATGGTGCAGTCTCTTGGGAATAGAAGTTTTGGATTAAGGCAGAGTACGTGTTGAGATTGGAGCCGGTTGAATACCTGCAATGTGTCAACGGAGGGGCATCGGCACGACACTTTTGCACGATACATACCATCCTACAATGACTTCTTTGGGGTTCACTTTCTGATGTAGTTCGTACATGGCACGGTGGTAGTCCATGTCAACAGCGACTTGCTCTGTTGTTTCGCTGTGCAGGACAGCAAAGGCATTGCGCACTTCGATCTCATTGTCCGTCCGTGTTCCTAGCAGTGTACCAATTACCCGCTCCTGGGTTTCTTTACGGCGAAGGAAGTGGTCGAGAATGGCAAAGAGTGCAACTGGATGAACGGTGACACTCGACGGTGCTCGTCTTCGCAAAGATATAAATGCCTTGTTACATAGAACTGAAACAATAAACATACATTGTTCCAGGTAACGCTGAAGCCAATGGTTGTTGTAGATAGATTGCGGAGGTTGGCTGTCCTAAAGTCATGATTACAATGGGCTTGTCGCAAATTTCGGGCGTCTAATTCCTTATAATCCCGCCTTTTAACCACCACACTAATGCCTTCCGACGAGACCAAGGTGACTGGAATCATCGTTACAGAGGTAGCATGAAGCATTCTAATACAAGTTTATAGGAGCGTATACTTAAGGTCGTAGAGTTTGGACGGGTGCGTTGACGTACTCTCCAAACGATTGTAGTATTGAAAACATTTTTTATCATCTAGACTATCCTCCATTACGGCTGGATACCTCTTATTATTTACGTGGGATACAAACAGAGCACACCTCAGCCATCACTCATCAAGTACGTGTACTACCTGTTAAACAGACGGAAGTGCTTACTGTCTTGTAGACTCCTCACTCCACTGGCATGACTCCTACATTCACTGATAGCCCTACATAGAATATTGTTTATATCACAACTTTGTATGGTAAAACAATCTAAAAACTTTCTGTGAGTAACCGTTTCACACCAACACCTTCGCAATGATGATACACCCGTGGTGTGCCCCTGGCATCCGATCGTACTTCGCACTGTTTGTAACCGCTTTCGAGCAGGTTTAACCTTGCTAACGACGTGCGGACCACAATAAGGCCAGACTTGAGCTTCCTTTTCCTTTCATCTTTCCTATTTTCTGAACAATTCACTCATTTGCCGCTTCTCAGATGATAGTTGGTTTTACAAATAAATTCTCCTGAGATCCCCTGCCGCTGTGATACGTTTACATATTGGACATAGTTTTGTTGAGCCAAGACACCGGAGCCAACACTCCTTGCAACATGTGTGCCAACATCCAGTTGAAACTGTCGGATCTGCATACGGATCCAGGCATATACGACACATGAGTCCGCCGAGTGTGGCTGAGTCCTGTTGATATGTCAGAACGAATTCCAAACCAGCAAAAGAATCGATTACCGTCGAAACCATGGTTGTTGTGGCAACACCGTTCCCTCCTGACTTTAAGACAACCTTTCCTTGTGCAACCAATTCCCGTAAACTCGTGCCTAACCGTTGTTGTGCAATTGACGCTGTTTCGTCCTCCTCCGCACTATCTATTATTACTTCTTCACTCTCGGTACTATCAGGGAGTATAATATCCCCTTCTGTGAATTGTGCGGCTCCAAAAGAATCGTCACCATCTACGTCTATTTCATCCTCTACATCGTTATGGTGCGGATTACGAACGTCATAGCCTGCACCTGTGGAAGTGCGCGAACTAAGAATTATTTCTATCACATCGCATCAATGGAAGGTTTTACACACCACGAAAATTGACAGAGCCCGAGATGCGTATCCGAGTCTCGCCTCCAACTTCGTATTCTTCCAAGCCATCCGCCGCCAACTCAGCTTCGGTTGTAATAGCAGCGGCAGAAGCATGTGCTAAGCAAGCATCTATATGGGCCTCTACTATGTCGTTTTCTCCGTTGACGGCAATCTGGCACACGGGACACACTCTGCGTTCTGCAGTGGGTATATGTTGATCAATTTCCAAATCAGCTCTTGACATTTCCTTGAGTTTGATATGGCGTTCGCGTCGATGGCGTTGCACGAGTTTTAAGGTTTTAGATACCTGGGCAACTGCACTTGTCTTGCTAGTCCCTGGCGCCGAGACGTGGCTTTGCCCGGGGTTGAGGGAGCGACGGGCTCTCACTGCTGCTGTACGTCTGCTGGGCCTTATAATAGCACTATTAGGCAGCGTACACAGTCATCAATAATTGTCCACACACCCTGCAGTATTGAAAATATCTTCTTCGACCTGTTCCCAAGGAACTAAGTCTTCGTCTTCCATCCTTGCTTGGCATATTTCTTCTACGCGCTGCAGCTCGAAAACTACATGCGAGGCGAGCAGACGAACCGGTATAGTGTCCTCACAAACAGGACAAACCCGCGTCTCAGCTTTCTTCGCTATCCACGAACAACTTTCAAATTCCTATAATGACCGTAGAATAACCATGCAGCCAACGTACGTTTCTTAATCCGCCTCTCTTCTGGGGCCGTCATTGGCTCCGATTCTACAACTGCCGAATCTCCAGATGCTGCCGACAGTGCCCGCTTTTTACCACTGGGAAGCTCCCTCAGCAAATATTTGTGCAATAAACTCGGAAAATTCGTACTTCATTTTGGAGACTGACATGTCCTGTGATTTATTTAACCGACTTCGCTGCCTGAGACGGTGAGCAAAGCGATGGATTGTGTCAAGGCAAGTTGGATGGGAAGTATCATAAGCGCTCGAAATATTGTGACACCCGCCCCGTCACACCGCGACTGATCGGTGATCAACATCGCATGTCACAACCTTCTTTGGAGTCAGAAATTAAATGTGAGTCGTACTTTTACTGTGTTATGTTATCTTATTTTTCTATGCTTGTTGGTTGAGATGCACGGTTTTATTTTGGGGGGGGGACAGTGGTCTCCCACGAAATTTGATATTTAAGGTTCGTGTTTACTCCGTATCTCATCTGGATCTCAGCTTCCCCTTATGAATGTTCTTTCAGGTCTTCTAGGATAAGTCCCGTAAACTTGCGAATGTTTATTGAAAAAACACATGGTTACGCCTTCGTATATCTCTCACATAAATTCGGGATTCTTATTTCGTTTCCTGCGCCATAAGGACGCCGGCAGGATTTCTGAATGTGCTACTAATCCAGGCATTGACGGAATTTCAAAAACGTTTCCCCATCATTGAATCTCCCTTAACTATATCCAAGTTTAGGTACCAATTGGTGCCAAATCATCAGTGTCATGTGACAGACCAGTCGTCTGTCAAACTTAATTTATCCTCAAAACCCCTTCCCTCTTTTCTTCCTGGAATATTTTCTCTCACTACATATTGCGAGGTATTTTCCATTAAATATTGAAAAAGCCGCAAGCCCTCCCCCCCTCCTTCTCG